TTTCCACATGGACCTTTGCTTTCTCTGTGGCTGCACCTACTCATTTATTTCATTGAAATCAGTCAGAATTGGGTGGTTTACAATTGACACAACGAGTTTGGCATGACCTTTTCTCCTTGCTGTAAATGGGTACTCATCGAATCTGAAGGGGGAGGTCGGGGTGCTGGAGGAGGGCTGGGGACGATGGAGGAGGGTGAGGGTGGGTGTTAGGTTGGCTGGGGGCCGACGGGGGATTGGGTGGAAATCACAGCAGTAAAAATGGCAGTGCAGTGAAAGAGGGGCCTGATTGCATTGGGACAGCATGCGAGAGGGAGCAGCATGCTCAGCCCAATCAGAGCCACATAAGGAAAAAGTGCTCTTATCAACCAGTAATAGCCCACTTGACAATCACACAGGCACAAAACTGCTCTATTTAACGCTGATTGCAAAAACTGCTGCCCCCCCATCTCAGAGCCGCATGACTCCCCGACATCTCCTACCACCTCCCAGCTTACAGCCAAGACCCTTTCCTGAATGGAATTTATTATCACCCCTCCTCCATTTCTACGCTAATTGTTATTTTAAGACTTAGGTTGTGTATTAGGCGTTCAGTGGTGGGGAAATGTCTGCCTTGATTACTGTGTTTATGCCAGCATTGGAGGTCTATCCGTCTGAATTCCACCTGCCTGACAGGTACTGAATGCTGATCTGGGTTCATGTCCGCTGCTTGGTGTGAGGCAGAGCTGCTGCAGAGCACATCTGCACATGTTAGAATCAGAATACCTCTATTCATCCCACAGAGGGGAGATTTACATTGTTACAGCAAAAGTGTATGAAATACTCCGACATAATAATACATTTTATTTTTAGGCGCCTTTCATGACACCCAAGGACACCGACATGCAGTTTATGTTTTAAACTCTACTTCAATAAGGCGGACAAATGAGTGGAAAAGTGCCCAGTTTTCTTAGAAAAAATATTACAACAGTCTCTAATCTGTTACATGTACAAGTATCAGCCTTAAAATAAAGTACTTCTTCTGCAGAGCAGCCAATTATAATCAAATTATAAATATCGGTGCATTAGATTGTTCATCACTTGTTGCAGCTTGTCAAGAAGTAGATTTTGTTTTTACTTTTATACGTTATACCTGGCAGCTTATGGATTTCCCCAAGACATCAATAAAGTTAATTTTCTTGAATTACAGCGAGTATTGTTCATTCATTTAAGACCTAATGTTATCAAATACATGTGGTAGAGTAACATTTTTGTCTCGGAGACGTAGTGGAGTTTAAGATTAAATTAGTATGAAATTAAATAAATAGTACATTAAAAATATTTCAAAAACATACTTAAGTACAGTACTTGAGAACATGTAAAAAAAAAAAGGAACATATTATTAACTTTCTTTAACATAATGTACTAATATTATCTATAGGTACATTACGTGAATCTTGGCAGTACACAAAGTTACATCAACCTGCTGCCACCTGCTCTTATTTAATATCACATTTTTAAAAAGCATCTGTAGTAGCAGTAGTAGTAGAACCAGTATTTGTAGTAGTTGAAAGATGTTTATTGTATTTGCCCCTGGATGTATTTGTTCATGCCTCATATACATGACTTATCCACATGAAGTGTAATTGTATTACTCATGTCTAATCTTGTGATAAGCATTTAATCTGCTTTTCTCAGCATAAATACTGTAAAATGTTTTATAACTTAAACCTTTATGACGACACAAAGACGTTGACTCATTGGTGAACTTCTCTCTGGGACCTACTCGTGGTCACTCTCTCGGTACGAAGGACAAGAGTCACACCCTGTTTCGAATTCTCAGAGTGGTGAGTTCCATTACTTACTATTCGAACAAGTCCTTATAACACAAGAAACGCATTATGTAGGAAAAGTTTACATGTTGTCCTGAATATGTCTTATGTATACCTATATACTATACTTAAATCTCGTCCACTCACCAAAGTGTCCGTTCTGAACTCAGACTATGACCTCAGTTTTGATTCCTAAATACGAACATGTCCGTCCCCACCCCTTGGAGGCCGGGGCGTCAGTACAATGCTGGGCGTTTCTGGTAAAACTATGCCGTGGAGCTCCATTAAATATTTGTGCGGGTTTTTTAAAATTCTTTGAGATTCTGGCGGTTTTATTAACATTTGTCTCCTCTTCGATGGACAAAAAGGCCGGTTTCCAGTCCCAGGAACTTGTGTTGTGTTCGGATTGGACACAGTAGTGCCGCACCATATACAGAGCAGACTGTCGCACGACTGTCCCATAGTCAAGACTGCCCTCGTGGTCTTGCGGCGAGGCCGTGGAAGAGGTTTTTTTACGTCATCGGATGGGTATTCCCGGCGCATATGTACGGCGTCAAAAACGTACCGACACAGAAATCAACTTTTCGGGTCACCGCTAGACAAGTAGACCAGTATGACTAGTTATGTCAGATATATTGCAACAACAATAATCGGTAGACCAATCGATCGATACGATTTCTTATATTCTTCGAAAAAAGAGGTTGGTCACTCCCATTTCCTGGTGTAGAAATACACTAGTAATATCAATATTTTTTTTATTCTCTTTATGCATTCCCCTTTTATCATATTTTATGATATTCTGTCATTTCTTTCACAACAATAATTATTTTGGTTCTCTTGTCAACTTTCACTCCACTAAACATTTTTATAGGTATTTCTCTTTTATATTAGACGAATGTCAAGATTAAAGTTATACCCACAACTCTCTACATAGGGGAATCTAGCTGGAGAGTACAACGAGAGTTCTACCGTTGGGTCTGTCTACGAAAATTGAAGAAGGGCCGCCCTCGTACGGGGGCTCCTGGGGGTATCTCCTCCAATCCAGGGGGGGGTGGAAATTATTACAAGTGTAACTATCCTTTGATTATATTAAACCGTGTGTAAACACAGATATAGAAAGGACAAAACCCACCCAGTACGGTGTGTTGTGCACGTGCGACGTACGTATGTATCGTACGCGTACCGTATATATCCTATTAAGACCTAATCTCCAACGAAAAAGAAACCGTGTCGTACTTTCTCCTCGGGTTACTACTTACCCGACACTATAATCAAGAAAATTCTCGTCTCCAGTTATTACACATGCCGGGAGCTCTACCTAACATTTTTTAACTTTACCCGGGACTCTCCTTTTTTCAAGGTGTGGAGCGACGAAAGTCCTACTTTGTTGTGTTTTACTTTACGAACCTACCCACAAGTTTTCAAAGTCCTCCCTTGTAGTAATTTTTGTTCAATATTTCGTTTGTCGCTCTCAAATATGGTGTCTTGGTATTTTGTTATTGTACTTGTCACTACGTGTGATTTAATGGGGTTTAGTGTAGTTTTGTTGATGGACAGATCATTGATTTTCGTTGGCACATTTCGTTCTGTTTATTAACAATACTATCTATCTTAATGTTGTTGTTGTTATCATTATTATTATTCTATCTTCCTGTAAATTATTATAACTCTATTTGTCCACTCCTTTGTCTCTTTGGGCTTCCCTCTCACCACTACCTTTCCCTTCTTTTATCACTCTTCTGACCTTTTGTCTTTTCCTTTCTACAATCACATCACAAGTTAATCTCTCGATATATTCACACACATTCAGA